AGATAACCAGTCATGCAGACCCTTGCAAAAATAAAAAGTGAAACTGTTATCCCACACTTTACTCTGCACTCCAGGTCAACATTATATAGCATGTCAACAAAGTGTGTTCAATCTGGATGTGTTTAGAAAAAAACACACATACACATGAATTGTGTATATGTGTGTGTTTGCCTGTGTGTTGTCACATGTTTCCTTTAGGACTTGATCCAGGCTGTTGCTAGGTGCAGTGACCTCCAAGAACATTCATGGATGCAGAGGGTGAACCCTGCAAGGAGCGGGGCTGCATTTTTTTCCTGCACCCCCCCCCCCCCCCCCCCCACCTCAAACACACATCCTGACTCACACACTGTACACCACAAACTCCCCATGGGCTTGGCCTGTTCACCAGTGGTTCATCATAAGGCCCAATGTCCACTCCAACCACAAACTAATGAGCTCTTGTTCTCTTTTTGACCAGAGGAAGCAGAGGAGTTTATGATTTTACGAGGTCAGATATTTCAGTCCTTTTGAAGAAAGGATTATGTATGACATCATTGCAAACTGGTCTTAAACACTTAGTTCCTACACTACAACTGTTGGAAGAAGTAGGTCTCCCCTCCATTAGCTGTATGGATCACTGCCCTCCTGATGCCTTAACACCTCCCCCGTTAGTGGAGTGGGGTCCAACCTGGAGAGGACAAGAAGTTCTCTTGCCTTGCTGCCAAAGGTCCTTTACTCCGAGGAACTGAGCTGGGGAGGGGAAAGACACAGTTTGCATGTCTGGCCAAATATTTCAGTGTGTGTGTTTGTGTGTGCATAACACAGTACACTGCAGAAATGAGCCAGCAGAACTTCTAGGCATGCTTGCAAACTTGAAAAAAACTCTTGTCCAAGTTAATTTGTACAACTTCTCAGTGTCCTCTGATAACTGAATGAGAGAACCAGCACAAACACAGAAACATTGCTGTTTATCCAACATGGACACCTTCATGCTCCGTCACTTGGCGTGACCTTTTTCATCCTCACTCATCGTCCTCCCAGCTGCTACTGTCATTTGCTACAGTCAGCAGTTCACATCAAACAAAGCCCAAGGCAGAGCAATAAAAGAGAGAAGACAGTGGGCAAACAAACTGGGAGGCAGACTAAATAACTGTGGCTTGTCTGCTGTGTGAGGGAAACACAAACCAGTGGTGTGTGTGTGTGTGTCACTGGCTGTGGCTCTTCTGTGTGTGTGCTCGTGTTGGCAGCAAACACGAGAAACAAAAGTGTCTCAGCTCCATGCATCTCCACTACGTCGCAGCTGTTTTTGGTATTTATACTTAATGCAGGTGTCAGTGCCGTAGTCTTTGTGGAGCTGTCACTGTGCATATATCTTCTCTGTGGATGAATCGACTTCAGTCACAGCAAAGGGTGTCATAACTTGTACTTCAACACACATCACTTTGGTTGTTTTAAAACACAGTAAAGTGAAATCTGATGAGAGCTTAGATGGCTTACAGACTCTGCTGCTGTGTTGGCCAGCCACACACAAAGGAACAACCTTTCGAACTGGATGGAGGACACAGATCTCTTCCTGCTACATCTCCGATATTATCATATAGAATAAACAACGCTTTATGTTGAAGTGATTTAGACAATAATGCAAAATATATAGATTACAAGATGGGTAAACCCAGATTAAAACAGCAAAAATGAAATGTTTTGAGAGTGGTATTCATTGTTTTCATATACCTCTAATCAAGAAAGCAAATAAACATATTTCCCAAAATGTCAAACTATTCCTTAAAGCAGATACTTAGCAGAAGTTCGTTTTAAATCTGTTACTTTTTCTTTACAATTTTTTTGTTGTTTTCAATTTTTTGCTGCTTTGTTTTTAAGTCTGTTATTTGTGCCTTAATGTGTGAAACTTTTGTGCCGTCTTGGCCGGGACATTCTTGGAAAATAGATTTTAAATCTCATCCTGGATAAATAAAGGTTAGAAGAAATAAAGTTAAAAAGCAACTGTCTCTTGGTTTTGTAACATTCCCATCACCCCCGGTCTGTGTCCTAAACTAAGTTTGTTTGTTTGTCCACTCTGAAGAGTGAGTGCTGGAACAGGTTGCAGCAGCTGTCTTGGACACACCAGTTGAGCTGACACTGGGGGTAGATTTTCAGAGGTGGGATCCCAGTCTAGGCTTATTTTCAGATTGGCCCTCACCAGCAGGAGGTCATACCATTGTATTGACACCTGGGGGGCAGCTGCTTTAATACCCCTGTTTACAGCAGATCACCTGCCAGTATGCAGGGAAATCAGGTTCCCATAGGTGGTAGCCAAAATAAACACCTGTCTTAGAGTCCAACTGCAATACAATCCTGCTGAATTCCCCATTTTCTAACACCCATTTTCAAACCAACGACCGTCAGCGTTACTCACTACTGTTTTGTGTTTGACACATCAGGAAACACATAAATACAGCCAGTGCTCACCACACAAAACTTGACAGATTCCTTCATCCATCTTCATGACAAGTAGCATTCAGCCATGACAACACATCAGCAACACTATCTCTTGGAAACATCTGGGCGTGAGTCATAACTTGACCCCTGTTTGTGAGTGTGTACTGGTGGTTGTGGGCTTGGCTGTTTATGCCAATGTGTGAGACTGCTAAGTGTTAATGTGTGTTTTCGTGCTCGTACCCTCAGCACATGTCCCTATGCAGTGTAGCCTACAGTGGCACCCCCATGGAAAAACACACACAATGCTCATGGGGGCAAACCAAAGTACAATCTGATCCCACAAAAACAAATACCTGTGAGAAACAAGGCTCCACCTTCGAGTTTGTTTGTGCATGTGTGGGTTTCTAAAAGAAGTCAGATGAAGATAGAGTGTGACCTGTGTGTGTGTGTCTGTGTGTCAATTAGTTTAAAGTGGAATAAAAACAGCAGTAGATCGTAGCTCTTGGTGCATATGCATATTTTCAGCTTTGTTTCGGTAACTCGCAAATGGCTCATTTGGCTGGTAAATGATCTGTCCTATTTTCCTGTTGGACTTATTTCTTAACCCAAACAACTTTATTCATTTGTAGTTAAAGGTGCAGGGGCCGAGATTGGGTGATGGTGCTAGCGGGGCTAAAAGTGCAAACTACGGTGAAAGTGCTGACAGAGGTAATAGTGTTTACCTGGGGGGGGGGGCACGAACATGCGCTAGAAGCACCCGCAGCCAGTCCGGCCATGTATACAAAAGCACAGAGAAGCTCTGATTACTACACACACACAGAGAGACAGTGACGTCATTCTCTTCTCAGGTACACATTATTCCGCTATATATTACATAGCAAATAGTGGTTTGCTGCTATATTAGTGCTCTGGCTTTTAAATAAAGCTCATTTAATGTGCAGGTTCAATGCATTGTGGCAGCAGGAACCATCATTTAAGACCTGCAGAATAAAGATTGTGGGAGAGTTGGACTTCAGCAGACATCATGTGTGGAAGAACAGAGATCCATGTCTTAGCTTAACCTGACATCTAGTGGTCAGTTGTGGTCTAACTCTGAAACTACTGCAGCAAACTGCAAAAAATTGAGTTCAAATAATAAAAAAGAAAATCTACTAATGAATTTATTTTACTTAGTACTTATTGACTGAATCTATGTTTCCATTAAACTTAACTTATTGGTCTAAACAAGCTATTTCATTATGTATCAACTGGTATGTGAAATGTTGAAAAGTAATTCATAAATCCTAAAGTGACTACTGAATATGAGGTGAATGTATTTAGTGTTCTGGCTTGTTTTAAGATATTTTAAAGGACTTTTTTTTCTTCTTACCTTGAAACAAGTCAGCCTTCATTTTGTGAATCGGTGGAATTATTTCACCCCATCGGCAGAACTATTCCTGTGATGAAAATAAGAGCATCGTAGGACTGATTTGGGATATTTTGGGTATGTTTAACAGCAAACACGATGCCAAAAAAAACATGACTTTGTGGGAGAGGTTGGGCGTTGGAAAGCCTCAATTACATTTGCCAGGAATTCTGCCCCTGGTTGCTCTTGTTAATCAGTTTATCACTTGAGCCTTTGTGTTGTTTTTCCCCCAGATGTGGTTTAACCGCAACCAGACCTTAATAGGACTCCTCTCAACCGGTCTCTATGGTTACTATAAGGTCAAATAAAAAAGGTCAATGGGGAGACAGATGGCAATCCAGCCTAACTACAACACTCACATCTACGTATAAACTAGGTGCAGATGTGTGGGAGAGAGCGTGTGTTTGTGTGTACTGCACATGTTATCTGAAGAAAGAAAGCAGAGCAGCAACTATCAGACAACAACATTTGGCTAACCCTAACCCTTGTTGTCTGGTAGTCTAACAGAGACAACTCACTAAAGAAATTAAATAATGCTATTTGCATGTTGTTTTGTCTTTGAAATAGGGGAAATATATAATATATAACAAATTACAATGCAGTTGTGTGAAATTATTACACACTTAAACATAGCATTGCACCTTGTTTTAGTATTTCTGTTAAATAATATGGATCACTGTACTCGTGTATATCCAGAACACTTCAGGAATCTATTGATTTCCACTGCAATTGAGATAAATCCTTTTTGTAAATAGGTAAATAGATAGAGATTTGATGTCCGACTTTACACTCCACTGTCATTTTCTTCTGTTAGCCATTGTTCTCTCTCTCTGCAGATATAATTCTGTACTCTTATATTATTTCAGGGGGGAGGCCAGTGGCAGGAAGCTTACAAACTACCAATCTGATTTGATTGAAAACACGGTAAATCCCACGCTGGCCCGGGCATTCAATCTCGTATCATCACTGGCACACTGCCGTCCCATAAACCCACTTCTTAATCCCAAAGCCCTTTTTTATTTTGTGGTCAATGTGCCACCCATTGCCACAAATCCCCCTCTGCCTCAGTCTCTCCCCGCCCCCACCCCTTATGGGGATGAGTCTGAGTTCAGGCACAGCTGGCATCATCATCCTGTAACCTGTTCTTCTCTGGGCATGTTTGTGAATGCACTGGCATGATTAGAGTACCTGGGGGCAAGGTCAGACAGACGACCCGCAGAGCTGTGCCGCCTGCTGGTCTGCCGTGATTGTCATTCTACATGGTTCTGCTGCTGATACAGGATATTAAACTGCCATCCTGTTTTGGGGTTCAAGTTCAGATCTGTTTTCCTGGAGAGAAAGACTTCTTAACCACCTCCTTGCGCAGTGCACTACAGTCAGCAGCCACGAAAAGTGTGCCAAAGGACGACTTGAGATGCCAGAGAAGAAGAGAAGAGGACTCTGTAGTGCATTGGTGATATGATCCATCACAGGAGGGAAATTGTTGCTTTTGGTGAAGTTCCACCAGACTTATTTGGAGATTGAAGACAACATTCTTCTTAATTGTTTTTGGAAAAATACTATCACTCTGCGCGTGACTGAAAAAGTTTTTTCCCCCATCACCCCCTTCCAGTCTCCTCGTACATCCAGACTTCTGCAGGAGGGGCACGACAGAATCCCACTTCCACCTGGCCTACAAGCACTCTGCTAGTTAACAACTTATATCATGCAAGAGCCACACCGTTACATGACGGTCATGTGAATTAAACAATAAAAAAAATCGAATAAACGAAGAAGTGCGCGCTCTCGGCGAAGCGAAGCATCAGCACCAGCATCTGATGCGCGTCCCCGCCCCGGTAGAGGCTGCCCGAGATCCCGGGAAGAGGAGTTGGAGCTGCGCGAGTTAAAGTTGTGCTAAAGGGGGGTGAGAGGATGCTGCAGAACAATCTACGACCTCATTAACATAGCCTATGCGGAGAGACGTGCACTAAGTGAAGGATGACTTGCAAAATACTGAGCATATGCCTCTTATTTCTGGGTTTTCAACATTGCTCATCACGTAAGTCTTGTAAAACAGCAATTGTTCCTTTATTGTCGGCTGCTAGAATATTATTAAAATATGTCAAAGTGTATGTACATGCCTTATCTGCATACTGTTTATTGTCTGATCATATGCGTGAGAAAAAGTTGCAAGATAACATGCGGTTATAAGTGGAAAATACCACTGGAGGGCAAAACGTAGCTTGCAGGTGTTGAGATCGTTGAAGGGCAATAACACGTTGCGATAAAAACAGCCTTTAAAGCGCAGATTTTTTACATTTCGCTGCTGGCCTTGGCAGCTGTGATTTCAGAAAGGCATTGTTTTGCGGGATCACACAAAAAAAAGTGCAGAGGCAAGCCGCGTCGGTCCTGCGGAAGGTGCGCATGCTTATCCCCATTGCACTGGACTGTCTGCATTGCAGTGCTTTCGCTCAGCCAGCACGCAAGTTTCTGCGCCGCGAGAGGCTGCAACTCTCGACTTCTTCGCAAAAAAAAAAAAAAAAGCACGTTGCTGATCGAGAATCTATTTCGTTTCTGACATAATAATCTTCAAATCGCTATGAACCGTGTGTGTTGCTGTTGTGAGGGGGAAAATCCGCTGAACACGTTATGAAAGTGGCGGCGGAGATGGCAGAGCACAGCGTCCTGACCGGGACCAGCCCACTGCAGTACTTTTTTTGGGAAGCCCACCACCTCTCCATGAATTCCTGCATCCTGCGTGCACGCAAAGTGCGTGGATTCACCTGGCAGGGAAATCATTACTCGCTGTTAGATCAGTGAAGGGGGCATGTGGCGGGTTTAGTTTAGACAGAGGTGGGGCTGTGTTTGGGGCTAAAATTGGCCTAGGGAAAAGGTGCCATGTACCCTTCTATCACAGAGCGTTTGTGCATACTAATAAGCTTTATGCGTGATGTCAGAGTCAGGATGACCTCACAGGGCCCTCACTGTTAATTAACCCCATACTGCTCTTTGTGTGACTCAGTAGTTTTTGATATCAGTGGGAGAGATCAGGGAAGAGGGAAGCTTTGTCATGTGACGTCTTATAGATAACTGTATTTTCAAGCTGGACCAGGTTTACAGTATTAGTTCAGGTTCTTTCTTTCAAGTTGTTCCAGGGTAATATAAACAGTTTTCACATGATGCCATGCTGTTGATCAGAAGCTATGGCATGCTGAGAAGTGAATGGTTCTATCTTATAGTTATTAATAAGTGAAGGTACAGAAAAAGGCAGCAATAGAGTGGAAGTTTGTAAACATCCTCGGCTCACAGAATGCTTTCCAGTAAGTGTGGGCCTGTGGGGTTTGGCTTGTTGTAGATCTTGTTATATTTTGCTGGACAGGCTGATTGTATATCTGCTCCGTGGATCTCTGCCAGATTGAAATGGAGTCTCAGGTCTCAGAGCACAGTGACCCAGCCTGGAGGTTGTGCTGAGGCTCACTCAGTAAGTAGTGTGTGTGTGTGTGTGTGTGTGTGTGTGTTTGAATCAGGAGGGTGTGATGCATAAATCTTAAGTTTCTGTCATGGTTAGCAGCACAAGCAGCAGGAGACGTTTTGGTCCATGTGACGGGAATTGGTATCTAGAAGGAAGAGCATGTTGCTTTGCGTGGAAAGTTGGCCGTTTTGTTCTGTTAGACATGGAAATTAAGCTGGTCGAGGCCTGAACTTAAGTCTGAATGTGATTCTGATGTGCTGCATGGCAGACAGCACCCACTGTGATGCCTGCCTGGGTATGAATGATTTATTAAAACCCCTTTAACAGAGCAGGATATATTTTTACTACCCCTATGTGCTTGTTTTTGCTGCAGTATTTGCAGCAGTAGTTTGATATATTGTTGGTGGACATCTGCACACATTCGGGCTGCCGTCTGAATCCTCAGCTGTCACGCATCACAGGCTGGTGGTGGCAGGCAAAGGAGGTGCCTCTCTGCATATTGTATGTAACCAGCAGTAATGATGTGTCAGCCCAGACACACAACCCTTCACTTACAGCAGACTGATGACTCAGCAAGAGTGGTGCTAGAGATCTGCATGGCCGCACTGTTCCCCACAACCCCTTAAAGATCAATGGAGAAAGAGACTACTCTGTGTGGCGCAGAGAAGGGAGGGAAGGGAGGGGGGTGCAGGATCACAAGAAGAGGGGTGAAAACCTGGGGACTGGATGCTCTGCACAGGCTTTCAGGTACACTTTCGCTACTGCATCATGACAACGCCCACTTGGGTCGAGAGAGGCAGAGAGAAGTAAAAAATAGCAAGATGACGAGCGAGGGTATGAGGTAATGGGACGCAGCGAGAACAAGAAAGATTGGATGATTTAAAGGAGAAAAAAATAAAGAGAGCGAGAGAGGACTCAGAGTGAGGAAAAAGGAAGTAATGCATTGAATAGGTGGGGGTGTCTAGTGCGTGACAGTCTTTGCCTTGAGGAGGAGCTGAAGAGCTGCGTGGCCTGGATTAACCCGCTGTAGTCTGGGATGCTGCCACGCTTCACATTTAAAGTCAAAGTCCTCTCCTCTACTAATAATCGAAGGATTGAAACAAACACACCTCAAGCCATTTGCTACAAATACGCTTAGCCTGCGCAACTGCAGCAGTGGTGACGGAATAGTTTTGGTTTAAATAGCCATTTGAACAGTGACTCATTTCAAATGGCTCTACACAGTGTAGTGATGGAGTGACGCAGCAGAGGTCTGTTACCGATCATCTGCAGCATAGCAGGGGGAATTCTGTGCGATAAAGACGGAGAGAAATCCTCTCAGCGAGGCACAGACACGGGAGGCAGAAAGTCACGTTTCACTTGCTCAGCACATTTCCTCCACCTGAATGAGCAGCGTGTCCTTGCATCAGAGGTGACAGAACTCATGCTCATGTGACTATAAGAAAGAAAAGAAAACGGTGTGTTTGTGCTGTATAATGGCTCACGGATGTTTAATGCATTATTTAAGGCAGTGTAAAGGCAGAGGACGCAAGCACTCCACTTCCTTGTTTCTGCAGGATTTGCTGTGATCACTCAGTCGTCTGCTCCTTAACAAAGTTATTTCAAATTTGAATCTATGCAGCACCTTTCTCACCCTACTCCATCTGCAGCCTGCATACTAATTCTGCTAACGTCTCCCGTTTCCAGTCCATGACCTCTGTGATTGTAAGATCAGGAATTACAATGACTGAACTCCTGTTTACTAGTTAACAACTCCAAAAGTTCGGAGGGGATGTTTCTAATTAGGGAGAAGGAAGCGGAAGGTCAGATTGGAGCGGATTCTTTGTGCACTCAGACTAGAAGAATTCCAATTCTTTGTATCTGCCTATACCTTCATATTCAAGTAAAACCCGTAGCCTATCTATATTAAATCTTTTGGGAGTGTCGAAGAGCATATTTTTTTGGCAGTTAAAATGAGACAGTGTTTCTCTTATAGCTCGAGGTGAGTGCATCGTGCATTTATCCGCAGCAGGGACACAAGCAAGATTAGGAAGAATTATGGTCAGTTTAAATAGCCGTTGGCTGGGGAGCGAGCCTGAGCAGATGGGTGCTGGTCCTATCAGTCTCATAACCACATGCAGGACAGCATCTCAACATGACAAAGCGACATATTGTTTGCCTTTGACTGTCTTGCTCATGAAACTGCATGCACTTCCAAAAAAAAAGAAAAGACAAAAACATATATTTACAGACACACAGGCACCGACAGGCACGTACACACACACACACACACACACACACACACACACACACACACACACA